TTAGGGAAAGCAGAGCTTTTAATTCTGCATGCTTTATTCCAATGAAGTGAGAATATTCGACTCACGGTTCTCCTCACTGTTATTGCAAATACTCACAGAAAGTATGGCAGGAAGCTTGGGGAATATGGCGGTGGAGGAGGCGGCGGAGGAGGCAGTGGTTGGTGTAGTCTGTATCGCTGGGAATTCAGCCGCCGGGGCATCATATGTGGATATGGCTGTGGGAATATCAGAAGCTTTGTCAATGCTGTCTAATCTGTAAGCTCTGCATACATTCCATGCCACGTGAAAAAAAAAAAAAAAAGAAATAACATATTCTAGCCAAGCAAAAGTTTGCACAAAGAAAAGCTGGGTCCTTTAGCATGATCTGTGTTATGCAAATCAAAAAAGAACATATTCTGCTTTTTTCTTTACTATGTTGCATCATTTATTCCTGTTGTCCTAGTAACAGAGAACAGAACGAAGTTATGCAAAGCACTAGAAACCACATTCTCTGTCACTGGAATCTTAGTTGGCTACCTCTCTCACATGTGAAACAATGCAGTATTACAAATCTAGGCAATCTTAGGAAATGGCAGGCTACGAGGAGAGGGGCAAAAGATGACATGTGACCAGTCCTCAAAGTTCTGGTCGCCACAGCACAGCACAGGCTCACTATTTGTGACCTTTCCTGAGGGCCTGTTCTCACAAGAAGTGTCAAAATCACAAGTAACTCGGGTAAATCCCAGCCACCTTCCTAAGTTTCCACCCTGCATCCCCTGCCTTCCTGCACTTGCACCCAGATGCCCCATCCATCCTCCAGTCTTCCTGTGTGACCACACATGGGTCTCCAGCCGCCTCACTTCTCCCTCTGTAACATACTCACAATCCTTATTGGCAACTCCCAGGTTTCCACCTAATGACCCACAAGTCTTGGGGTTATGATGGCAACCACAACTGCCATTATAGCTGGGACTGATATTGCCACGTGGTGCAATCATGTAACATTGCACTGCATGACTGCAGGGATGGCAGTTCTGAATGTAGCCCATGGGCCACCTGTGAAAAAAGGACACTGGCCCATCCATTGGGATGCCCCTCCTACACCCTCTTGAAGGGAACGAGTGTCTTTTCTTTTATTATCCTTTTGTTTTTCCATTTTTGTCTTGTAGTGTAACAGGGTAGGAACACAAGACAGACTGAAGACAACACAGACACTTGGTTAACATAGGAACAAATGGGCTTTTATTGAATAGATAGTCCTCGACTTACGACCACAACTGAGACCAAAATTTCCGTCATTGAGACAATTGAGTTTTGTGACCCATTTTTGTGAGTTTCTTGCCACAGTTGTTAAGTGAAACTCTGCAGTTGGCAAGTTAGTAACCCCTGAATCTGACTTTCCCATTGACTTTGCTTGTCTGAATGTGGCAAAAGGAGATCACATGACCTTGGGACATAGCAACGATCATAAATATGAACCAGCTGCCAAGCATCTGAATTTGGATCACATGATCATGGGGATGTTGCAAAGGACACAACTCTGAAAAGCGGCCGTAAGTCACATTAAGCTGTGGTAACTTTGAACAGTCACTAAACGGTCACTAAGTCGAGGACTACCTGTGCCTAAGGTTTTCAATGGCTTCACCTATTTCTATAAACTATCAACTCCATTGTTATCAACTGCCTTTTCTAGCCCTAACACTATTCCTAACCATGTCTCTATGATAAGGGGAAGTACCATATTTTTCGGAGTATAAGACGCACCAGACTATAAGAGGCACCAAGGTTTTGAAGAGGCAATTTTTTTAAAAAAAGTTTTTAAAAAAACTCCCCAAAACAGCCCATTTTTCATGAAAACGGGCTCATATTTTTTTTAAAGGGCATAAATAGCATTTAGGAGGCTTGTAGAGTGCTCCTGGGGGCTGGGCAAAATTGAGCAAAAAAACAACCCATTTTTTGCTCAATTCTGCCTTCCCCAACCCCCAGGACCACTCTGAAAGCCTCCTAAAGCCTATGCACGGCCATTTTGGTGAAGGGGGCGGGGTTTCAGGAGGCAAAAAAATGCTGTATTCAGTGTGTAAGACACACCCAGATTTTCAGCCTCTTTTTTGAGAGAAAAAGATGCATCTTATCCGAAAAATATGGTACTCTTAGGTCTAAACCTGAGCCTCCCTTAAACCTGCCTATCCATCTGCATCTTCTAAACCCCTCTCTAACTTTCCTTACCCTTCTGGAATATAACCTGGCAGGAGGCACCCAGTTGCTATCCTCCAACAGATCCATCACCGAATCATCACACTGCTACCACCCACCCCACCCCTCCAGGGTATGATGGCACTTGGTGGCCGAACAAAAGGGTGGTTTTTTTAAAAAGACACCCTGTTCTACCTGGTTCAGAGGCCACAGAGAACAGCTTTTTTTTTTTTTTAACATGGCACTTACCACTCCAAACGGCAGTTCTTGGTGAAGTGGGTCGTGTGTGTGTGGAAGATACAATGGTACAGAGGGAGACAAGGTAGGAGTATGATGGGAAGGAGAATACGAGAAGCCCCCCATTGAGTGCTGTTCACCCCGAAGCTCTACCTCGTTTTCTATCCTCTGAAGTGGCTGTGGGAAAAGGATATACACATTCTGCATTGGCAATTGCTCCCCAANTGAGTCATACCCGCTTTTACGACCTTTTTTGCCACGGTCATTAAGTGAATCTGGCTTTCTCCATTGATTTTGCTTGTCGGAAGCCCGCTGGGAAGGTTGCCGGTGACCCCAGCAACACTGCAACAGTCGTAAATACATGCTGATTGCTGAGCGTACGAATCGTGCTTAGGGACTGCTGGGGTACCACAACAGTCACTGTGCATCAGGGTTTGTTATAAAGCCCCATTTTTTTCCAGCTTCGTCGTAATTTCAAGCGGTCATTAAACGAATGGTTGCAAGTCAAGGATGAGCTCTTATTATTAAGCACTACTACTGCCCCTTATGACAAAAGAAGCCACAAAACTTAAGTTTGCGCGTCTCCTTCTCATTTTCCCTCCTCCTTGCACCCTGAGGATCCCCTCTCCTCAGCTGGGTGAGGAATCTCAACAACTGCTGGGGAAGAAACTGGTCGCCTCACCAGACATGGCTATCGGGACGAGTGGCAAAAGGCCAACTGGCCACAGCCACATCCCAAAGTTTTTCTCCTACTTTTAGAGGTAAATATATTGCTGAGAGCTGGCATGTTCAGAAAACAATGACACCTACATGGCACCAGAGCCACGCCCCCCCTCCAGCCACTATCCATCTTCTCAGGAAAAAGCAGACACAGAAGCTGCTCTTCTCATTACTAGCCTTTCTCTCTTGGCGGATTGATCCCTCACAGACTTGTGGGATATCACACTGCCTGGTCTATTTGTCCTTGTTCCTTTGCATCCACATGGATGCAAGGAGCCCTGCTTAGTTGTTCCCTAAATTCATCAGGCCCTCTTACCAAGAACAATTGGATGTCAGCACACAAAGATGATGGCAGAAAGGCTCGGGGGCCTTGCTTCCTGGCCTTGGCCTTAGGCTCCCTTGCAGTCCCTGTTCCTATCTGTTGCCCCCACTTTGAAGGGAAAGAGTCGAGATCTAACCATCCATCTGGGTCTACCACTTGGAGGGAGAAGATGCCACCAAACTGAAAGATAGCACTGTGGATAGGCAGAGAGACCGATTACGACACTGCCAAACTTACCCTGGAGCATTACTAGTTGAACGCAGGACAAGATAAACCAGGCAAGGAAGGGAGGGAGGGAGGGAGGGAGGAAGAGGAGTGGTCAGCAGGTCCCTTTGCTCCTACTTCTGCAGCACCATGAAGGAGAAAGTGACCCTGCCAGAGTCCTCCTTCCAAGGCAGCTATTGACGCAGAAGAGATCTGCCCCTAAGCCTTGCAACTCTACTTCAAATTAAGTCCACTAAAACCGTTTTGTGTACGTATGTGCGTGCATCTTTAAGTTGGTGTGGACTCCTGGCAAAGGTCTGGACAAGGCCCTGTAATTTTCTTAGTAAGATTTCAGAAGTTGTTTGCTATTGCCACCTCTCCTTTGGGCTGAGGAGTATGACTGGCCCAAGATCACCAACCTGGCTTTGTATATAAAGCAGGAGCAGAACTCAACGATCTCCCAGTTTCTAGCCAGATGCCTTAACCACTACACCAAACTGGCTCTCTACTAAAACTATGCTGCCTCCTAACCTAACCTGGTTTCAAACCAATCTCTAATTTGGAGGGGAGGGAGGGGAGAGAAATGCCCTGAAAAGCGTTAACGGTCCTTGTGAGGCGTTGCGGACATGTGCAGTACAGTGCATGGCAGTAATCAGCTGAGCACAAAGAACCCCCTCATTCCCACCCACCCCATCACCCCACAGCTGGCTAGAGAGATAGCCAATACCAAGTTCCAAGCTGGTCATAACATGCATGCATAATTTGTGAACATTTACATTAGATTTTTTATCATCTTCTCTGATTCTTCCAGGCTTCAGACACAAACCAACTAAACGGCGAGGGCTTCTCTCTTATTCCATGGTATAATCATGCAAAACAATTTTTAAATTTTATTACTTTTACGATAACAGGTTTCTGTAACAGGGTGGCAGGTTGGTTGCTTTCTTGCTTCAAATCAGCAGGTATTTTAGGTAGGAGTGTGTGTGTGTGTGTGTGTGTGTGTGTGCAGACACAAGAAGGCACACAGCTTGAGTGTCATGGCCAAATCAGCCATAGTTCCTGACCGAGCGCACAAGCATCGGGCCGTACAGAAAAGCTCATTAGGATGAGCATCAGTAGGCCAAAGGTGAAGAAGGGGAGGAGGGGCGTTGCTGAATGGAAGAGACTGAAAAAGATAGGATGAAAAAGCCTTCCTGGCCCTATGAAAGCCCATGCGCATCACTGCATACAGCCACGGGAGGATGGAAAGGCTTTCTCCATAACAGCTAGTGCAAGGGTAAATAATAAGAAATAATAATTCCTGCCTGCTCTCTCTGCCCAGGATCCTATCATCCAGTCCTCTGGAGCTGCCCAACAACTCTCAGGGCTTACAGCCAGGAGTCGGGACAGAGAACTGAGGAAGGGGAGATGAAGGCTTTTGCCGCAGTCTGCTGAGCATCTCTCCCTCCCCTACACCAGGGGAGAAAAAGCAGGTGCAGGCAGACTGCTAGGGGACACTCAGAAACTGGATGGAGGTGCTTTCTGGAGATGGGTGCCGAGAAGGAATAGCAACCCAAATGTGTTACTAGGGCAGTTATCTGGGGGTCCGAGTGTGCAAAGGGAAAATAAAAGGAAGACACATCAATTATTACATGATTCTGTATCTCAAAACACAAGCCACAAGCCTTCATTTCATTAAGTATGTAATAAACAGAGCCGGCTGTTTTATTGTAGGGATTTTCACTTGCATACTCCTCCTCTTTCGAGCTTTCTGGGGGGAAATGGGTCTTTTCCCCCAAAACTGCCTTGCAGCAGAATATTGCTGGACTTAAGTTTAGGCCCATTTTTTTTTTCTTTACCTCACTGTGCAACTTGTGAGAACAACCCTGAACTCCACCCAACATTGCAGGCATGCAAGGGGAGGGAGAGTCTGAGATGCTGGTGGGACTATTCTGTGCATGTGTAGGGAAAAACACAGGGTGGTCCTGGGCCAGTGGGCCATGATTCGCGTGGAGACAGCCACAGATGTTTTTTTGGCAAGGCCTCAAGTGGCTTACATCAGTGTTGCAACCAACATACTCCCCCGCTACTATCTTGCAACACTGTACTCTAGGCAAGCAGGTGGTGGGGTTGAAGCAGGCACTTCTTCCCCTCTCTCCCTTGGAGCTGTTCTGCTTTCAAGGCCCCCAAATCTGGCTCTGCCAGAAAGGAATGAATTCGGATAAAAATCTAGGTCAGACAGCCACGAAACCAAATAGGGAAGGAAAACCCCAAACCAAGAAGGAATGCAAACACCTGGAAAACAATGGTGCAAGGATGGCGAGTCTTTGGAGTGCAGAGCACGTGGGGATGCCTCCCCCTACAAAGCATGACACCGCAGAGCTGGCTCAACCACCAGGCCCGGTCCATGCCATGGGGTGAGGGGGAGGGGGTGTCATACATTGCTTATATTCTCACCGCATCCCAGGAGAGGCCCCAGAGGCTAAGCATACAGGCTGGCCCGTGCCTCTGGTCCAAGGTCCGTATCCTGGAGTAAATTTGTGCAGCAGTGCATTGACGAACCTCATTCGGCCTCCCGATGTACTTCTGAAGCATCTGCTCGGCAGATGGGGCATGTGCGGTTTGCCTGCAACGATCAATGAAAGCATGACTTTGGATATGGCCTTTTGGGCAACCTCACCCACTGGAAAATTTCCGGCAATTCCACTAAACAGAGTTCCTCTGCTTTGAGGGTTGCCTGTTTCAGAATGACTCAACTGAAAGGTGGTCTCATCCCTTTCTGAAGGGGAAGTCACAAAGCCCAAGCAATTCAATAAAAGCAACCCGAGAGCGTTTACCAAAATAGTCTTATCAACTGCAACGAGTGAATTGGATGAATTCATTCATTCATCGAACTGGTACTGATACTCAAAAGAATTATGCATTGTATGTATAGACAGTCATGGACCTTATTGCTGTTGCTAAGAAAAATGGTTGTGAAACATCATGTGACTGCGCCACTTAGCAATGGCAGTTCCGATATTTCTAGTTGCGGTCATGAGTTGAGGACTGTACTGTTATTAGGTGAAGACTTGATGCTTCTCCTACTCTATACAGACTTCCAGTGCTGACCTGCTGTGTCTTCTCTGGCTGTGCTTAGCAAATTCCCTTTGGCAGATGATGCTCTGTTGCCACACCATACTTGCCTCCCCTTCAACTCTCCCACCCGCCTATATCCCTCCCATCTCTGCCCTTCTGGTCATCCTGCAGAAGCGCAAGGCATCACCAGGTGTCAGAAGGATGCATTGCCATTAGTTAGATATACTCAGCAGCAGCAGCAGGAGGTGAAAGCAAAGTTCAGTTGCAGAGGTAGGTCTCAATGGTAGCGTGCAAAGCAGCCAAGGGCAGATATGGAATGGAGGATAGGCAGGTGGAGCGAATGTGGTGGTCATAAATATGAGAAGGCTGCGACAAACCCAAATTTTGATCGTATGATCATGGGGTCCCACTGCAACAGCGGTAACCAGTTAGGAACTTAAATTATTGCATTTGGAGAAATCTGTATAATTTTTTTAGTCACTCTAAATGAAAGGGAATCACGGAGGAGAAAAATGAGAATGAGAGCAAGAAAGGTGAAAGGACTTGGAGTTTTTATTAGTGAAGGAAAAATGACAATGAAGGGTGAACTCTACAGATATTTAGCATATTCACATATGCTGTGAAAACAGCTGAAGAATATTTCTCCTTTTCACATAATCCTAGAAGTCATATGGTCATGTAATGAAGCTAGCAGCACAATTAGGTTCCATCAGAAGAAAATAGTCATTGTTGAATAATGTGCAATGGCGCTGTGCAAAGCCTTGAAAAGAGGTGTGCTTTGCAACACATTGGAATGAGAATGAATCACCTGCCCTGGAAGAGTTAAAGGCTCCCCTAACTGCTTTAAAAGCCATCCCCAGCTGCCTCCTCTGTGCTCAGATACCAAGTTAGCATTTTTGTACAGTTCTTCTGTTGATTGCATTGATATGCCTGTGTACTTTTATTGGCAACTGTATCAATGAGATTACCGGTTTCATTCTGGACAGTTTTTCATATTGCCCACCTTAATAGTAGTCTGCCCAATCAAGCTTTGCTCCCACCCACCCATCTTTGGAGACCAGTAAAGATTAACTGAGGCTGCTAATCTACAATGTCTTATACATTTTATATAATCAGTTGCTTAGATAATATTTGCATGCTAGAAAGTGAAAGTAGCTGGATTAATAGAACCACTACCCCAGGGGTCGGTAACCTTAAACACTCAAAGAACCACAAAGGTCCTAACAGAAAGCCCCCTGTTCAATTCTGGAGCCAACCGAAAGTCCGGTTTCTCCACAATAGTCTCTCTTCCCAGTGTGGCGTTGTGGAGCTGACGGAAAACGCGGTCCCTTGCCATAGGATCTTCTCCTGACGCACCCTGCTTCCCCCCCCACTCAAAAAAAAAAAAAAAAAAACCTCTGGAAGATAGTAAACAATGTGAAGGAGAAAACAATATAAAAATACTAAAACAAAAAAAAAAAAAAAAACCCACCTGGAAGCTCCTCTCAAAATTGTGGTGCCAGTTGGTTACAGGGAGCCGCATCAGGAGGATGAAAGAGCCATATGCAGCTCCAGAGCCATAGATTGCTATCCCCCGAAAAATGACAGGGATATATCTATGTTGTGAAACCAGGGAAGCCTTTGTCTTTACAGTCACTTTAGAAATTAACCAGACCCACTAAAGAAGACAGATAGTACCCAAATAACTTTTCTTAGAGACTGATTAGAGAACTCAGTCAAACCAGTGAATTTTACCTTTAACCATTTGTCGATGCACTTAGCATGGAACTCGTGGTTGCAGGGCAGAACTCGCAGCAGCTGCCTGATTTCAAAGTCACTGAAGCACACCACACACCTGGGAAGGGTGAAAAATCAAACCAGTAAGGGAGCAGGAGAGAATGGATATAGAGATACTTCACAGTAAAACAGTTTCTTGGGAGAACTTACAAGGTTTGCTCGGACTGATGGCTCTCAGGGTTAAAGCGGTAGGATGGAAGGTGCTCAATATCTGCTTTGGTGAGTCCCCGTGGCTTGGCCTCCCCTAATCTTTCAGCTAAATTCAGTAATGCCTGATAGAAAACAAAACGAAAGGAATACAAAGCAAGTGATTCCATTGCTGAGAATACCCCCCTTAATCCTTTATAAACTTCAAGAAAAGGCAGAGAGAGACGAATCTTTTGCCGTCAAAACTTTGAAGAAATAAAAGACGTGAATTGTCTTTTACTGACGTTTAACACTTAGAAAGCATTAATATTCCCTGACAACTCGTTTTTATTCTGATTATCCGTCCACTTTAATTAGCTTTATACTTTACATCTTTGTCTGGCCTTCCTTGCCCACTTTTTAAAAGTGTCACCCTTGGTCCTCAATGCCATATAAACGTTAAATGAGCCTCCCATCAGATTTGTATTCCTCTGCCATAAGAAATGGCTCCACAAAGAACACAATCTGCTGCACAATTGCATTCTCCAACTACTGCCACTCCTTAAGTATAATTTCAGCTGTCTTCTCTCAATTGCGGACTCTAGGGCAGACCTGGCAGACGTGAAATTTCTTGGATCTACTAGTACAACTCAAGATCTACCAGCCAGAACTTGTTCCACACATACTCTCTGTCAGAATCCTAGGTAACTTCCAGAATTGGGATAATGTCAGCATTCAAAGTATCATGCAGAATTAAATCAGAGTCCAAGGCAAAACGATCGTTAAAGTTCCAAGTTAATAAGTCAGACATCTTAGCACATCTGTGGAATCACAATTCTGGAAATTACCTAGGATTCCCACCCAGTTGAAAGTTCTGGCTGGTAGATCTT